CGGTCTAAGGTCTTTGATCTCAAACTTCTTGACTAACTGCATGTTGAGATGGTTCACCTCCTCCTCATTATTACCTGCCCACAACTATGTCATCTACATATACAATAAGCACGGTCACCTTATGTACATTGCATTTTACAAATAAAGTGTGATCTGCTTTGCTTTGCTTATACCCAAATCCAAGCATTGCCTTTAGGAATCTATCAAATCAGGCTCGAAGAGATTGTTTCAAACCACACAAAGCCTTCTTCAATCTACAAACCTTTTTAACTGTAGACTGAGATGAGAATCCTGGAGGTACATCCATATTTACCTCCTCCTCCAACTTTCTATGAAGAAAGGCATTCTTCACATCTAGTTGCTGTAAAGACTATCCCAAATTAGCAGCACACGAAAGAATAGCTCGAATGGAATTCATCTTCACCATAGGGGAAAAAATTTCTTGATAGTCTGTTCCATATGTCTGGGTAAATCCTTTGGCTACTAGTCTTGCTTTGTGCCGTTCAATCGTCCCATCCGCATTGTGCTTAATAGTGAACACCTACTTACATCCAACTGGATTTTTTCCATGAGGAAGAGACACCAACCCCCAAGTGTTATTTTTACTCAAAGCTTGCATCTCTTCTACCATAGCTACTTTCCACTTAGGATCATTAATAGCTTCTTTTTAACCCTGCGAAATACACATAGAAGAAAGAGACGAAACAAATGCACGATATGTAGAAGACAACGAATCCTATGACACAAATTTAGAAATGGGGCGTTGAGTACAGGCTCTAACCCCCTTTCTAATAGTAATAGGAAGACTCAAATCATTAACAACAGGGCTATCAACAACCGGCGAAGGAGACATAGGACTATTAACAACTGGTGAAGAAATAGGCTGAGTATCATTACTTGTAGAGTCAGTGGAAACTGGGTGTAGAACTGGCATGATAGATGATGATTGACCTGGTGGCACAAGAGAAGTCTGCTCTTTCTGACGCCGTGAATAAGTCTTAAGATCAACTCTGTCCAAACGACCACCGATATCAGACTCCTCATCAACAGAACTCTTAGGTTCCCCCTCACCACAAATAATAGCCCGCTAATTAGGAAGGAAAAAAGACAACTCATGCTGATATGATGTCGCCTCATCCACAATCTCATCCATAACACTCTCCCCCTGAGGAGATAGTGGAGGACAAGGAAAAAAAAGACTCAGATTCACGGACGGTGACATCCATACTAACATAAAGCTGACGAGTGTGAGGGTCATAGCATTTGTAGCCCTTTTGAGTAGCAAAATAAGCAAGAAAGACACACCGGACAGCCTGAGGATCAAGCTTCCCACAAGTACGAGGTTGAAGATGAACAAAACATACACTACCAAAAACCAGAGGCGGAAGGGAAGAAGTGGGATAAGTCATAGGAAGAAGTTCAAGAGGAATTTGAAAGTTAAGGACACCAGAGGGCATAGATTGATAAGGTAAGCAGCAGTAAGAACAATATCCCTAAAAAAGACATAGGAACTTTCATGGTAAACAAGAGAGAGCGAGCAACTTCAAGGAGGTGGTCATTCTTGCGTTTAGCAACTCCATTCTGCTCAGGAGTGCCAACACAACTAGTCTCATAAAGAATGCCATGCTCCTCGAGGTATGCTCTGAAAGCTCCATCAACATATTCAGTCCCATTATCACTTCAAAGAATTTTGATAGTAGCATTGAAGAGATTGGACATCATTTTATGAAAAATTTTGAAGCACGAGAAAACCTTATTTTTAGTTCAAAGTAAATAAATCCAAGTCATACGGGAATAATAATCAATAAACGTGACAAATCACCGATAATCAGAGATAGAAACCACAGGGGAAGGACCCCACACATTGGTATGAATAAGCATAAAAGGAAAAGTACTTCGTCTATTAATTGCAGGATAACAAGTACGTTTATGCTTAGCAAGCTCACAAGTATCACCAACAAAGTTATTCCTAGGACAATCTTGAACTAATGAAGGAAAAAATTTCTCTAAAATACGAAAGGAAGGATTCCCCAAACGACAATGCCACTGATGAAGAAGATGAAGGGAGGAGCCAGAAGTGCATTGAAGAGCCTGAGAGGACAAAGTTGATGTAGGAGGAACGCCATCCAGAAAGTATAATCCACCTTGTGCTTTACCACTGTCAATCATTTTCCTCGTAGCCAGTTCCTGAAAGACACAATGAGTCGGAAAAAAGGTTACAGAGCAATTGAGAGCAGTAGTAATGCTACTAACAAAAAGTAAGTGGAAAAATTATGAACATGAAGAACAGATGAAAGAGAAAGTAAAGAGGTGCAATGAACTGAATCCTTGTCGGAGATAGCGGATAAAGCGCTATCAGCCACTCTAACCTTATCTCGCCCAGAACCAGGGGAATAAGAATGGAAAAGATTAGAAGTACCCGTTATGTAATCGGTAGAACCGGAATCAATGATCCAAGGAGACGACGAAGAGGTACTAAGTGCACTAGTAGAAATACCTGTGTGGGCAAAGTTGGAAGAGGCAGAAGAGAAAGGAGATAAGGTAGATGAAGAATCAAGTTGAGCCATCATACATCTGAGAGTGTGAAGCTCATCTTGGGAAATAGAGCCAGTGTCACCCGAGGCATTAGCAGTAGTACTTGAGGACAAACACCACGACCACAACCACAGCCTCAAGTAGGCCGACCATGCAACTTCCAACAGTGCTCTTTATCATGTCTATCTTTTCCACAATAATCACACTTCAACGGGTCCTGATCAACCAAGGGACCCTTACCACCACCTTGAGGCTGACTAGGCTGAGTATCACGTGACTTTGGGGCTGCAACCATCGCTAAGCGATCCTGAATACGGACATGCACCATAGCACTACAATGACTCTCCTCTTATTGTACCAGTGCATAAGTCTCGCGCAATGTGGGAAACGGGGAGCGACCCAACACCTGAACCCGGTATCTGATCATACTCCAAATTCATGCTAGCAAGAAAGTCATACACCCTCTCCTTCTCTAGAGCTTGTTGAAACATAATGGCATCCGTGGATCAAATTAGCTGGAAACTCTGGTAGTAATCTAGTTCTTGTCATAAACTCCTTAACTCAGCATAGTAGACTGCAAGAGGGCATCCTTCTGATCTAAGCTCCTCTTCTTTCTCAATTCATAGGCTTGTGCATCATTACCCTATTGAGAAAACATCTGAGATGCGACTATTCAGATCTTGTAAGTAGTATCCATCAAGAGAAAAGTCTGATTAATGGTAGGCTCAATAGAATTGATCAGCCAGGTCATAACTAAAGCATTCTCAAAAATCCATTGAGCAGATAAAACACTATCTTCAGTAGGTTGCTTGGTACTACTGGTAATATAGCCAGTCAAACATCGGGCGACAATGGCAAGACTACAGGAGTGGGACCAAATCAAGTAATTGGTACCATTAAGCTTGACCGGACTAATCTGGAGAGAAGAACTATCACCAAGAGTCATACCATGACTCAGTCCACTCTCCTCCTTGCCCCTAGAGTCTTGACCCTCGTTTTCAGCCATGAGATGAGAGAAAGATGGTGCAGAAACACAAGCAGGATATCAAACAAGTCCTGAAAACACCTAACTAGCACAACAACTCACCTTCTAAGGCTGAAATAGTGCAAGATAATCCCAGAACAAAGCAACAAGATAAACTAGGAGCCCGAAAATCGAAGTAGACTATCTAAAACTCAAAAAAAATCCAAGGTAGGGCCAAAATACATCAAAACAGGGACAACAAACCCCTCTATTGTTCCAGTCAACTCCCCAAGATGTGAGTGGAAGGGAAAAAACCAACCGAAAAGAGCTCAAACAGTGACTTTCGAAAAATCACCCAGTTTGGACGAAAAAAAAAATAAATAGAAAAAGCAATCAATAATAAGCAAAAAATCAAAAGAAGATTATAAGGTACATACCCATTAGATTTCGAGCATAATGCAACCTTCTTTTTTTTAAAATTTTTTTACTTTTTTTTTTTACACGTACAAGGATACAAGAAACAAGGAGGGAAGAATGAAAGGAACAATCTTCAAGGAGGAAAATATAGCTTTGATACTATGTTGAATGTATTGAATGTATAGATGAGAAGAAGTTGTAGAATGAGAGAGAGAGAGAGAGAAACCAATGTTATTAAAGGCGCGCCTAGGCTCAAGTCCCATTCAAGCCCAAGGTTTGTGGCTTGTAGTGCTCCAGGCCATGCGACTTCAATAAGGCCCGCCTGGGCCCAAGGTTTGTGCTTTGTAGTGTTCTAGGCCAGGCGACTTTAATAAGGCACACGACTGGTCCAAGGCGCAGTAAAGCCCAAGTCTTGAGGGTATTTTTTATTGTTGCTTTAATTGGTTTTGTTTAAAATCTGATCATTGATTTAAGATGATGCAGCTACAAAAGATCCCTACTCTTCTTACACATGCCAATACATTGGGCATTCAACCATAAATCAATGATAAAAGAAAAATTAGCCCTAAATCCTAATATCTGAAGAACACTTTTATTATATTGCATGCCTTCATTATTCAGTCCAGCAAATCCAAAAATTATTCTTCACGTTGTTGTCTTTTTTTTCCCTTTCTCTTCTTATGTTTTTGTCTCATTCTCTTCTCTTCTCTTCTCTTCTTGTCCACATTATTGTCTTCTCTATTTTTCTCCTCTACGTTGCTATCTTCTTTTTCACATGGTTGTGATGATGTTGCTTTCTTCTTCTTCCATTTTCTTATGCTTATTCTCTAGACTTCTTTTCTTTCTCATCATTCTTTAGACTGATCTATTCCCCCCCCCTTTCTTATTCTTCTTCTCCCCCCTCATTTTATTCATGTTTTATGTTCAATTTTGAAATATTGTTCATTTGTCTATTTTGAAATAGTGGTATTTGTTGGTATATATATTTTTAAATGTTTAAGATTTCATTTTGTTTATGTTGAACCCTAAATTGTTTGTTTATATTAAATTATATATTTTTTTACGTATAAGGTGCGCCTCACTTTGGTGAAGCCTGCGCCTCGCCTTGCGCCTAGGCCCTAGGAGACCTTGGCTCCTTGGTGTACCTATCGCCTTTAATAACATTGAGAAACGGTTGTTGTATATTATTGATTAAAAAACATAGGGTTTCCCCTTTACAACTATTTATAATAATAGACATAAAGACCAAACTACCCCTAACACTTAACAATGATCTTTTTTTCTTTATAGTAATTATTTCCTTATCAGAACTCTACTATTGCTTGTAGGTAGTTCATATCTATGGCTCATGCTTTGAAAATTTGCATTGAGTGGTCCAACGATGTTGTTTTGTGCTTTGTGTTTGGATTTGTTTTATTATTTCCATTCTTTTCTGATGATTCAGGGGCATCGTATACTGGCCTTATTGTTATTTTGTTTTAATTCCTTAACTAGGTACATGGCCCTGGTGCAGACATAGACACGCTTTGTGTGGGACCTCGTCATGCAACACGAGAAGTGCGATCTGCTCTTTCTTAACAATTGTGCAAAAAATTGTTCTTTCAGTCTGTAAGTGGTGTTGCTTGATGGACTTACAGATACCTTGATGGATTGTCCGCAGGAAGATTTTTTCGGTGAGCTACACAAGATGCTATCAGAGTCGCCCGAAGTAACAGAGTTGCACCCTGTACCTGATGCTCATGTTCCAGGGATGAAATTTAAGTTTAGCGGGGTTTCTATTGACCTTCTTTATGCAAAGTTATCACTTTGGGTTGTCCCTGAAGTAAGCCTCTTATTGTGCTTTTATGTCTCCCTTTGAAGCATGCCTTAAGTTTTTATTCTTTGTTACAGTTGCAGTAGTGGCTAGGTAACTTAATTTGTCCCCTTGCCTATCACCTTGGTGAATGCTCCGACGCTGGAACCATGATTAAGTGATTTATGACCTACATGACTGGCAGTGATTTGCGACATGGACATGACACTGCATGATGCATTTGTATTGATATATCTGAAGATGGGTGCGGGAATATGTGTGTTATATCATACATATGCACAGCCATACTTTAGAAATTTTAGTGCAAGCACTCAATTTGATTTTTGCTTAGGATTATATTTTTTTCTTTATGCTAAAATGAAGCTGTATATAAGCTTAAAATTTATTCATTGTGATTTGGGTAGAGTTCAAGTGTCTAGAATTATGAGTTCTATTTTATCATTTTATGTTATCCATGCATCAAAGATGTGTCTGAGAGATCTCTGGGGACTGTCCAGTCTGACTTGGACATGGCTTCTTCATGTAACTGTCTGTTTCTTTAGTTGACATCTGAAGAATGAATCTATTAAGAAGAGGTGAATTGGTTGTACTTGGAGGCTGGAGTACAACATTATTTGCAGGTCCACTCTTTTGCTGTTAGTTTCTAAACTTCTAGTTATTTGTAGTAGGGTTGGCAATTTGAAGAAACACTCAGTTGACCAGAACCATATTGGGACAAGGATGGTTTGCTCATAACCATGAATTGGTGATTGGATGCGATTGTTTCCAGTCCACCTTACCTTGTAACAACCATTGAGGCATGCTTAATGTGCCATTTGAGACAAATCATGTAAAATCAAGATTTGTGTACTACACATACGTATCAAGCTGCTATGGGTTATGCTTAACTTCATTTATAAAACTAAGATTTGTTTGTCATGTTGCAATTGCTTGTTACTTTTTGAAACCTTTTTAAGGTTACCTTGTAGTGCATTTGGTGCTTATGGTTTCTAATAAGTAAGAAGTAATGATGGTGCAGGACTTGGATATTTCACAAGACTCAATTTTACAGAATGTGGATGAGCAAACAGTTCGTAGTCTTAATGGTTGTAGAGTTACTGACCAAATTCTTTGTTTGGTGCCAAATATCCAGGTTATGGTCATTGGTACTATTTTGCAATATGTGCATTTAGATATTTCTGTCCTTGTAGTATTACTTGTCTTGATTGTGCGTCTGTTTTCCATGGTGCAGAATTTCCGCACAACATTGAGATGCATGAGGTTTTGGGCAAAGCGTCGTGGTGTTTACTCTAATGTATGGGAGGATTTTCTTGATATCAGAATTATATCCTGCTTCGTACTATGTTATTCTCATACCTTACTTGTAATGCCCCCAAAGTGCGTATAGAAAGTTATCCTTATTTAATTAGGGGTTAATGTGCTTGCCATTGGAATTGAAGAACTATCCGTTGGATTATGCCTTTGAAACTAGATTGGTGACCTTTACCAAACAACCTGAAAATTTTCCCTCCGCTCGAGCGGAATAGTTGGCGCTCGAGCGTAATTTTGGGGTTCCCAGCAAATTTTGCAGGTGGCCTGAGATTCTGCGAGTTGTGATTTCCCGCTCGAGCGGGGGATTAGACGCTCGAGCAGACTACCTTGTTGGTCTGCGCGCTCGAGCGCAAGGTTGGGCGCTCGAGCGGGTCTCCTGGTTAAGTTTAAATTTCTGAGGCACATAGGTTCGTTTTTGGACATTTTTATTAGTGTATTTAGAACATCCTTATCTTATTTTGGAGTATTGATTGAGATGATAATATGATGGTAAAGTAAGATTGGATCAAAAACTTTAATTTGAATAATTCGTTTACGACCAACCGTCACTCTTTTGCCCTTTTCTTGTTCCACACATGGAATTTGGATGCGAGGTTAGAACCATTGGAAAGCTTGTTTTCGGGGCTTTAATTTGGACACAAGAACGACCTAAAACGGAGTCCGGATGGGGGAGTTATATCTGTTTGAAGTTTTTGAAATCTGTGCTGGGAGCAGGTCCGCTCGAGCGGGAATTGGGACGCTCGAGCGGGAATAGCGGGTTTTTCGGGACAGCAGCTTTAAAAACGGGATTTTGGATCATTTCTCATATTTTTCTTCTTCCCTCTTCCTTTCTCTTTGCCTAAGTCTGAAACCCTAGCCCCAAATCCTTGAATTCCTTTACTTTGCTCACGATCCACCATGGTTTTTGGCATCAAGGATAGAGAACAAGGGAGGATCGATGTTTTTACCCGATTAGAACTTGGATTTGTGAAGGCTTCTTCTCAAGTTCACTTCTTTGCTTGATTATTGAGGTAAGGGTTTGAATACTCTTCAATACTTATATCCATAGATAGATTTGTGGCATTTTATTATCTAAATACAATTTCCATATTTAGAGCATGTAGTGTATAGTATGAGATTTGGGGTTTTATGGTTTGAAGATGTTGGGAGTTAATTAACGGGTTAAAATGGTGAATTATGAGTCCTAGGTGTATAATCAATGGAAAAGTTGGAATAAAAGTGTTGGGTTAATAAGTTTGATTATTTCTTGAAATCTCCATATTTTCTTGAAACCCTAGGTTGATTAAAGATGATAACTAAAGATTTAACCCAAATTGAAAGTAGAATAATGAAATTGAGGTATTGAATCATGTATATACGAATTTAATTGGAATTTGGTGATACTTGGAAATTATGTTTAAAATTGCGAATGAACTTTGTTATGAGCACGGTGAATCACGTCTTAATGAGAAAGGAGATTGGGGGGAAGGGTTTGTTGATGATGTGGATGATGTAAACTTGGCTACGGAATATTGAATTGAGTCTTAGCAATTTAATTTGAATTATGTGGAATTATATTTGGTAGTATTGAGTTGAATAATGTTAAATTGTGTGGATTATCTTGGATAGTGAAAATTATGTGGGGTTATGTCGATTATGTCAAATTGTGTTAAATGTTGTTGAATTGAATTGTGTAGGGTTATCTGCAGGGACGGACCTAACATCTAAACACTGTGAGTAGTAGTACGCTTTACCACCGCTAATGCTTGCCATTAGTATTCTGTTAATTTCGTTACTTATGTATGTAAATGATTCAAGGGAGCTAAATGTTATATGTATGTAAATGATTCAAGGAAGATAAATGTCATATGTATGTAAATGATTCAAGGAAAATAAATGTCATATGTATATAAATGGTTCAAGGAAGATAAATGTTATATGTTTATGTAAATGATTCAAGGAAGGTACATAAGTAAGAGAAAGAATGAAACAACCCTCCTATGATTCTGGAATTCTGTAAGACTCTGAAATAAGTTTGCTATGATAATGTTTGGGCTAAATGCCAATAAGTTTAATGCCAATACATGTAAGAGCTAAAGGCCAACAAGTCTAAATAATCAAGAAATGCTCTAGTTATGATATGCTACGTTTGAATTAATGAATTCATGATATCCTTAGTACATGGCCCTTACCCGGGGGTAATAATACCGTGGTTTAAATAATTAAGTTACAAGTGTATGTATGTTACAAGTTCAAGTATATTACAAGTATAAGCATGTTACAAGTTCACGTATGTTATAAATTTAAGTATGTGTTTCAGATATGTTTCAAGTATGTTACGAGTTCACGTGTGTTTCAGGTATGTTTCAAGTATATGTTTACAAGGGCTTTATGTTATTTTCAAGGGCTTTAATGCCAATAAGTTTACAAGGGCTTTATGCCATTTTCAAGGGCTTTAATGCCAATAAGTTTACGAGGGCTTTATGCCATTTTCAAGGGCTTTAATGCCAATATGTTTACAAGGGCTTCATGCCACTTTCAAGGGCTTTATGCCATTTTCAAGGGCTTTAATGCCAATATGTTTACAAGGGCTTTATGCCATTTTCAAGGGCTTTAATGCCAATATGTTTACAAGGGCTTCATGCCATTTTCAAGGGCTTTAATGCCAATATGTTTACAAGGGCTACAGGCCATTTTGAAGGGCTTATGCCACTTTCAAGGGCTTCAATGCCAACAAGTTCCAAGGGCCTTAGTGCCATATGTTACAAGGGCTTTATGCCACAAGTTACAAGGGCCTCGTGCCACATGCTTCAAGGGCCTCGTGCCACCATGTTTCAAAGGCTTTATAGCCATTATGTTTATGTTGCAGGATTGGGCCTAAGGCCATATGAAATGAAAACAGGAACAGATTAACTACATGAACTTCGCATTTATTTATGCATTGTTATGTACTATGTTTAAATTGTGCATTTATGTATCATACTATTCACTGAGCCCGACTCACCCTCTGTTATGTCTGTTTCTGTAGGTCACCAATCAGGCGGTCAGTCCTAGCCAAGACGTTGCTTTTTTTTGTCAACCTCTATATGTTCAGGCATTGTTTAAGTTATTTAATTCTTAAGTTGTCAAGATGTTGGTTTGCTTATGAGTGTCCATCTAAGGTGGTTGTATATACGTTTCATGTTTGTTTTTGTATACGCCCGACTTTAGGGTTGGAACGGTAAATGTGTATGTACATACTCTGGGATATAGTTGAGACTTTATTAATCCGGTATAATGCATGTGATGAATGAGATCCTGGCATGTAGGAGTAGCTCAATGGAGTTTAATTGTTCATTATTATTTATCTATTTATTTTTTTTGTGCTTCCGATAAGGCCCCGTATGTTAACTTACTAGGTTACATGTCCGTCTCTAAAGGGGTCATGCCCAAACTTTTAGGGGCGGGTTTGGGGTGTGACATTACTAGTGCTCTCTTTGTCATGGGCAGGTTTCAGGGTTTTTAGGTGGTATAAATTGGGCATTGCTTGTTGCTCGTATATGCCAGCTTTATCCAAATGCACTGCCCAATATGTTAGTGTCTCGATTCTTCAGGGTTTGTACTCAATGGCGTTGGCCAAATCCTGTAATGCTCTGTGATATTGAAGACAGGTCTCTTGGGCTGCAAGTTTGGGATCCTAGAAGATATCCTAAGGACAAGTTCCACTTGATGCCTATCATCACTCCTGCTTATCCTTGCATGAATTCTAGCTATAATGTATCATCAAGTACCTTGCGAATTATGACAGAAGAGTTTCAGAGGGGAAATGAAATGTGTGAGGTATGATTGCCCTAAGTTGATATTCGCTAATAGTTGAGTGGGTCTTGGTGTAATTAACCCTTGATTTTATTTCATGCCTGAAATTGATGTTTATGAGTCCTGCAGACTATGGAAAACAAGGCTGATTGGAACACACTGTTTGAGCTTTATCCTTTCTTTGAAGTGTACAAAAATTATTTGCAGATTGATGTTACTGCTGCTAATATTGATGACCTGAGGAAATGGAAAGGGTGGGTTGAGTCTCGCCTTCGTCAGCTCACATTGAAGGTGAGAGAATCCTTCATCTTTCCACCATTTCCAGCTGTTCTTTTATTTATTTATTGGATTCTGGACTATTTTTATATGCTTGCCCTAATTCTGTTGTGCATGTGCAAGTTTAGATTGAGAGACACACTTTCAACATGCTTCAGTGCCACCCACACCCCAGTGACTTTTCAGACAAATCCAAACCTTTTCATTGCTGTTACTTCATGGGCTTGCAGCGGGAACAAGGAGTTCAGGCGAAAGAAGGCAAGCAATTTGATATAAGGTTGACAGTTGAGGAATTCAAGCATGCTGTTGGCATGTACACACTCTGGAAGCCCGGAATGGAGATACATGTAAGCCACGTGAAACGGAGGAATATACCCAATTTTGTATTTCCCGGTGGAATTCAACCTCCGCGTCATTCCAAATTGGCTGGAGAGAGTAAGCGAGTTTTGGAATCAAAGGTTCGTTGCCAACCTGAAGCAGACAAGTCAACTGAGGCAGTTTTAGATGGCGTAGATGACAGAAGGAAGAGGAAGCGAGAGGATGATAATGTAGCTACTACCATGGGAAGTTTGAGATGTAGTCCCGTCAACTCTATTGCTCCGTGTTCTACAAAAAGTAATGAAGTCGTGAGAGACAGTCCACCTGTTGGGCTTTTATCTGCTACTGATGTGTCATCAAGCACTAAAGAAGCGGAGAGCCTTGCGATTGAGAAGATCATGTCCAGTCCATGTGTTGCTCACCAAGCCTTTCCAGAAGAACTCGAGGAGCTTGAAGATGACTTTGAAAATAGGAATCAAGTCAAAGATTTAGTTGGGAGCTCAAAAGGTGGGCCCATGGAGTCCTCAACAGCAAAAGAGGTAGTTACTGATACAAGTATCGATGGAGCTGGTCCTTGCTCTGGTTTGCGCTTGAAAGGGAGCTTAGAAGAGCTTGAGGTATTTTCTGTTCACTCTTTTAACATTCATTGATGCATTATCCTTTTGCATAATTTGCACAAGTGACTGCCCTCTGCTTCGAACCCATAACCTCAAGGTTAGTAGGCTGATTTTTAACCACTGGACCAGTGGCGGGTTTGAAGTGCTATGTATGTACAACCTCAAGGAAATGGGGAAAATATAAATATCACTTCTTAAGCCTGGTTTGAGTTGTTCTAGTTCTCCGAAGTAGATTCAGTTAAATTAGAAATATCTCATCATCACAGATTTTACACAAACTAAAATGCAATTCTGCCCATTACATGTCATTGATTCAAAATGGCCTCTTTCCAACCCGTGTCACTTCTGCTATATATATATATATATATATATTTCTTTCCTTTTCTTTTCATGTGTATGATAATTGGAATGAAGTGATAGTTGTCGATATTATTGAATCGATCTCAGGTCATTTACTGTGTACTTTGTGTTTACTTTTTATTTTTCTTTCAATATAGACTGATGAACTTGCGGCAAAATTGTCGAATGGGATCCATTCAACATCTACAGCACAACGGAAGCCACTTATCAGGTAATAAACAATTCAGTTGATTATAATGTTTGTTTCCACGAAGAATGAAATTGTGCGTAGTGGTATTGAACTTCTTATACCTAAAACTTGTTATAAAGTTGATAACCTCAAATTCCATTTTTAACTCTCCAGGTCTGTCTAGATTCATAAATTTGAGGAATGGACTGTTGTAACTCATTACAATTTAGTTTTATAAGATGACAATATCTAAAGATCTCGCTCTATCTCTTTTTCTTTCTTTTTTTGTGGTGGCAGATTGAACTTCACTTCCTTAGCTAAGGCTACTGATAAGAGAGAGCAGTCGAAATGAGATCCACCCTCTATAGGGTGAAGCTGGCACAGGACTGGTGGGTATTCAAATTCAAATATTGTATGCATAATTAAGTAGCGAACAATAATGATAACCCTTTCCTTACTCTTTTCTTAACCAAATAAAAAAAGAAAAGAAATCCCCAATCGCCCTTTTCTTCCCTCTTTCCTTTCTTTTGTAACATGGATCAAATCATATAGTAAATAAATACTTTATCACCTTCTGTGTGTGTGTGTGTGTCTGTGTGTGTGTGTGTGTGTTTGTCCGTTATGTTTTGGGCAATTTTTCTGGGACTTTTGAGTGGTTATTGAATTCATGGCTGTTGGAATTCTGGACTTTGGTTTCTTGAGGTGGAATTTTGGCATGCATTTGGCTCTGTGTATGGCTCCTACATATGTCCTTTCCAGTAATGCTGTGATGACAATATTTTCTTATATATATTTTTAATTAAATTTGTTTATTATTGATGTGATATTATTGTATATCGGTGTAATGGACCTTACTTTTCATATATTATTACTGGAAAGGTACTACATTAGGGGCTAAGCAAATTTTGTACAAAAATTTAGTTATCTTACCTTTTATTTTATTTTAATGGGCAAATTACCACGGCAGTTCCTGTATTTTGATCCTTGTGTTATTTTAGTTCTTGTAATTTCAATTGGTTAATTTTGACTTTGAATTTATGACTTTGCCTTAATTTGGTCCAATTGGTTACAAGTTTTAGCATTTCGTTATAGAAAATATGTATATAAATGTCATTTGTCATATTTTTTAGGATAAAATTATAAATTTACCCAACTCAGTAAGTTAATCTCAACCAATTTAGTGATAATTTTGTTTAAAAATCACTAATGATATTATCAATTAGATTAAATTGACGCAAAATTTAAAATTGAATCAATTGGAAGCATAAGGATTAAAATGATATAAATAATAAAATATAGGGACCATTGGTGTAATTTGTCTTTTTTATTTTTAAATTTTTAGGTAAATTATTGTAATTTCTCTCGAGATTTAGAGAAAAATAATAAATTTTATAATTTTGACATAATTACATCGACTTTCTTTTTAGTAAGGTTAAATGGATTGAAATTAATATAAATGATGTGAAAACATAAGGATAAATAAGGTAATTATATATTTTAATGCAAAAAGAAATTACATCATCATTTTTCAATTTATATAACTAATGAATTACTTATGAAAATGAAGTCAAGTGTTGTGTGAATTAAAATTCTAAGAGATTTTAATATTATTATGTCAAAGTTATGGGTTTTATTGTATTGTTATAACTTTTGGGTAGGTTGGCGTAATTTACCCTTTATATTTTATTTCTTTATAGTATATAATTTTCCCCAAAAAGTAAAGCTTGTGATGGTGGTATATCCAGGACTAATTTGGCAACGTGCTAAAAAATTAATTTTTTGACATTTTATTAAGTTTTTTTTCAAAAAAAACATAAAAAATTCATTAAAAAAGTCAAAAAATTTAAAAATTAACTCTTTATTAACTTCTCAAAACACCCCTCCAATTCAACTCCATCCTAATAGGCTTGGATGATTTTTATTTTATTTTTATTTTTAATTTTAAAGAAAGCAGAGTAAAGGAAAAAAAATGAGGTTTTGCTAATTTAAAATTCAGGACAATTGGTAAGTGGGTGTCAACGTCAATGTCAATGCCAAGCTGGTATGCAAGTTGCAACTGATAGACGAAAAGCGTTATATGCATTTTCACACTCGTAAATGTGCCAAATGATGTTTGGTAACATAGCATAATAATTATTTAGTGCCAAACAACAACAGAAGAAAACAATAATTGTTTATTTGTTAAAACAGGAAAAATTACAATTTGGTTGTACTTTTTAAAAATAATTATATATAAATAGAATTAAAATTTATAAATTTTATTATTAATTTGAATTTTTTTCAACTCTCCACTAATTTGTTATTTCTTAAAAAATAAAAAATAAAAAATAAAACACAAGCTTAGTTTGGGAAGTGGGTTGACTTTTTGAGTTTTGGCTATTTTAGCATGGGTTAAAAAAGCTCGTTTGAGTTTAACTTTTTGACTTTTGTGAGAAAAAAATAAAATGATTATGATTTAGATATAACATCTCATCTTAGAGTTATGCTATTATCAATCTATCAATTATTTTGAACTCTTCATTTTTTAGTTTTTTTTATTACAATAATAATCTCAAATGAAATTACTAAAATGTACATTAATAATTTTGGGACACCCCATCTCACAATTAAGTCTACACATCCACTACATCATGAGTTAGAATTTATGAGAACGCCCACTTGCATTACTATCCATCCATCTTCCCCAAATCCTACTATCAAAACCTACTCACCCTTAAAATTTTGAAAACTATTTGGCAGCAATATTCCTGCGGTAACAGTGACAACTGTTTGATTATCTATACTTCTCCAGCAATGACTGGGAATTTTTTTGACAATCATAACTCCATGAGATGAAAATGGTACAATAATAAAAAGCTCAGAGGAAATTCATAACTTTGATGGTCTTAATTCAGAAAGATTGGCTTTGTAAGGGTCAATTTCTTGAAATAAATAACAAAAATAATAAAATTTGTTCATCATTTTTTTGGGACTGAACTTCTAGACATATGACTGAAATTCAAGAACACATGCCCAAACATTGTTTATTTGTTCAGGAACAGGTAATCGAACATTTCTTACTTGTCAGGAACAAATAACCGAACATTATTAATGAACCTTTTTCAAACTTTAAAATCACAAAATCCAAGTAAGATAAGGAACAAGAATTGAAACTGTTAGATAATTCAAAGAAACTCATCTGAAAGATCACAAATCCAAACACGTGAAAATCGCAGAATCCATAAAAGGAGAATTTTTAATAAACAAAAAACAAATCTTACATTTATTTTTTGAGGTCATGAATAAGTATGTGGGGATGAAGTAATAATCACCTTCGTGAGTTTTGTTACAGTTTTTGGTAGAGAGACTTTTTGAGGTGTGAGGGTGTGCATTCAATTGAATGTATATAACGTCATCATAAAGATAATTTTATTATTTGTGAGATAGAAGAAATTTGGATAAATTACAAATACACCCCTTGAGATTTTATTAAAATACGAATTACCCTCTGTGGTTTTAAAAATTACATTTCACCCCTTAAAGTTTCTAATTTCATAACAAATTGTCAATTTTATTAATAAATCATTAAGTCAATTAATAGTTTTTAATGATGTTAAAAATATGTTTTAATTAATAATTTAGGTAATTTTATTATTGTATAGGAGAGCAATTATGAATTTTATTTTTTCAGTTAATTCTGTTAAATAAAAAATTCTAATAAGGGGTATTGGTAATTTTTCAAATCACAGGGCTAATCAATATTTTGAGCAAACCTTAGAGAGTGTAATTGTAATTTATCCAAGCAATTTTAAGAGTTTTAAAATTTATAAGTAGAGGTCTAAAGAAATAAGAGGTTCAAAATAATTGATAAGATACTAATAATAATGTTTTTTATTTTATTAAATTTTTAATCTATTTTACTTTTTATGACTATTTTAACATTTTAATCTCCCAACTCAACATGCAAAGTGAGGGCACAATCATTATACTTTGACTTTGTTTGGGAAGTTAGCTATTTTAGTCACTTATTTTAGTTTTTGTTTATTTTAGTAGGTTAAAATATTTATTTTGAGAAGATAGTTGGAGTTTTTTTTATAGTTAGATGTGATGTTTCTGAGAGAAAAAATAAAATGATTATAAATTTGATGTGACATTTTATCTTATTAATTATTTTAACTTATTTTACCTTTTTATAAATTTTAACTCAAAAAACCAAAAAAAAACCTTTGCCAAACGGGGCCTTTTTGTGATTTGTGGTCCACGTAGGAATGGTTCGTCACCCGATCAGGCTACACAATGAGCTCATCTGAGAACATGAGTTAGATGTGGTTTACTGATTTATTTGAATCGTATCCGTTCTTTATCTTTTTAGATATTTTGTTATAAAAAAATAAAAGTCATTTTATAATTCATCACCAAAATAACCTAGGCTTTGCTTGTTATGAATTATTTTAATTAAATTAGTTAGTAAAGATAAAATATATTAATTTAATTAATAAAATGAAATATTACATGTAAATTATAATTATTTTATTTTTATTTTCACAACTATCAAATTAGTTAAAAAAATATCTCAAATATAACTTTTTTTTAAATCTAATAATAAAACAATCAATTAAAATATCTGACACCCTCTCTATCCTATTTTCTCAATCATTAAGTACTCATAGTACATACAATCATTGTGTCTAAACCTAGCTCAACCCAAACGATTGCTTAACAAATTGGTATGTGCCCATACTAATTATTAAATTTTTTTTATCAAATCTTTCATATAATTATAAAATTTACACCAATTACATGTCTAAAATCTCGCATAGTAAAAAATTTGATAATTTATTTAAAATTTCTAACAGACAAATTCATTTTTGGCCAAGTAAATTCCCTTTTTCCCTTTGCCACTTCAAACATATTTTCTGCTGCCTTTCTGTCTGCATTCTTACATCTGTGTGTGTGAGAGAGAGAGAGAGAGAGAGAGAGAGAGGGAAGGAAGGGTGAGTTGTGGTTTGGACAAAGGGCAGATGGAAGAAAAAGAGTTGGACTATGTACTGGTACCATTGGGTTTGGCCGTGTTTGGCTCATACCATATTTGGCTTCTCTTCTCCATAATTCGTTATCCCAGACGCACTGTCGTTGGCCTCAACGCTGAGAGCCGCCACCAATGGGTCTTCTCCATGATGACTGTTAGTCTCTCCCCCTTATAAATTACACACTCTTTTCTCATATATTTGCTTATTATTGTCTCTGATACTTACTATTTCAACTGGGTTTGTGGTATCTTGGTTTCTTTTGTGAAGATACTCTAATTTTACTTGATTTTGGTTTCATAGACACAGTTTGTGTTCATTGATTTCATGATACTTTGTCTCAACAACCCAATCTTAACCACAATCTGCAAATCTGTTATTTATTTGGGTTCTCAGTAGTATTATACGAGGACCTCAAAGACCAAGGTTGCTCATGATTATTCCCAAATTATGTTGGGTTGTTTTAGAAAATTTTAAGTACTGTTTGGTAGTGGATATTTTTTTGAAACCTTTTGTTGTTCATGCTTTGTAAGAAAATGGTTTATTTTGATAAATGAAAACCCATTTGTTGGATCTTGCTCACAACCCATTCATTAAAATGGCTTGAGGGAAAAGGGTTCAGGAAAGATGTTAACTGTCTGATTTCAATCTGTTAATTATATACCTTCCCCTGTTGTTTAAGCTCAAATCCTGTGCTCTGTACTATTGCGTAACTTTCCTTTGTTGTTGGCTTTTTTGACCCCTTCGGTTTATTTTCTACTTATATTTTAAGTCTGGCTTGAAATAAACTTTCTCCTCTAATGGGTGCCTGTATATGTCAATTATTGGCTATGTTTAGTTCTCCATTCTTAAGATTTGCAAAGATGGTTAATTCCTTTAATTTTACGTTTTTCTTGAACACTATGGTTTAATGATGTGCTAGTGTTACTATAAAGCGCCTAACATGGGTACTTACTTCAACAGAGGATCATAACTAAGGTAGTATCCAAGGAATTTCTGATTATTAGGAATAACTTCCACTCATCTCTTATCACACATGCAAGGAGGGTGTGCCAACTCATATCCCTTTTTTGCTACCTATGTCATGCTGAGTCTAACACAGTCATTCAATCTGTAGCAAAGTGTTCCTGAACGTTGTTCCAGTTAGAGCTACATTTATGCATTTCCTTTGACTATTCTGGTTAATAAAAAGGCTATAGATGTTGAAACCCACTATCCTGCTAGAACAGTAGTGGAAATATTTCTTTCTTTGAATAGAACTTGTATTTCTCTCCCACAAGATTTTCATTTGGAGTTGATTCCTCATTTTTCCATCCGTTGATCCATCAGTTGATCATACCCATCCCTTGATCACTCAGTTTGGCATTGACAAATCACCCTGCACGTGACTGAATCTATTGCTGGATGCTGTTAAGATGACTTCTTGTTGCACTCAGCCCACCAAATCTGCAGATTGGTGAATTGCTATGCAAGAGGAATTCAATGTCCTCATTAGGAGTGGCATGGGGGTCCTTGTTTCCCCCTTTTGACCTACTAATGTTGTTTGTTGTCAACATGTATTCAAGAGCAGAAACTCAATGTTTCAATTGGTCATATAAAGCTCAATTGGTTGTTAAAGGCTTCGTGTTGACTATGTTGAGACATTTAGACCTATTATCAAGCCTATTGCCATCAATCTGTGTCTTTTGGGTATTCAATGTATTTTCGTTTGGTTACAGAAAGGAAACTAAGTAAAGTTGGAGTCTTTGGTGCCGTTTAGAGTTTGGTTGGTTGTGAGTTCTATTTATGAACATTTAGATGTGCAATAACCTGGAGGGAAAATGGCCATTAATTTTCTTCTCACTATATCTGTGCATAAATGTCGACATGACTTGTGTTTCTCTCATCAGTGTTACATGCTATATTCTTTCCCTACTTTTATTTAAGGACATTATTATTTTCTGTTCATTGATTTCTTAATTCTTGATTTTAATTGTTGATAAATTTTTGTGGTAGTTAATTTTATATTTAAGTGTTTTGGTGTTTAAATCCACATTGCGGAGGTCTTTGTTCCAGGTGCAAGTCCATTCCTTGATAAATGTTTCTACTAAAACACCAACTTTATGGATGCATAGCAGTCTCCTACTTAGAGCTAATAATTGAGCAATTATGTTATCTGCATTTTGTATATTAATGATTTCTAGAATGATAATCAATTTTCTCAGTGAATGATGTACAATTCAAGCATAGGTCTTAATTTGAATTTTGCGAAATAATACTATTGAGCTATTTCCTAGGATCCACTGAAGAATGGGGTTTTGATTGTCCAAACAATACGCAACAACATAATGGCGTCTACGCTTTTGGCAACAACGGCCATTACTCTTAGTTCACTGATCAGTGTTTTTGTGAGCAACGCATCAAGCTCTTCCAATGTATCATCGGAAATAGTTTATGGAAACAAAACTGCCATTATGTCTTCTATCAAGTACTTTGCTCTCTTGTTATGCTTCCTCGTTGCCTTTCTTTGCAATGTGCAATCTATTAGGTACTATGCTCATGTTAGCTTCTTGGCTACCTTGCCTACGTCGATAGACAAAAGGGAATCTATTGAGTATGTCGCTAGAAGCTTGAATCGAGGAAGCTTGTTTTGGTCGCTTGGGTTACGAGCATTTTATCTGTCGTTCCCTCTCTTCCTTTGGATCTTTGGTCCCATACCCATGTTGGTGTGTTGCTGCATAATGTCATTTGTGCTGTATTTCTTGGACACCACTACCACTTTTACACGGCGTCTTCACATCAGCTCCATGAAAGAGGGATCAAGAACTGATGACATTGGGTCTGTATGTTGATCATTGTAGGCGTTGGCTTTATAAAATGTTATTCTTGAAATTAGAGTAGTAATGAAAGAACTCTGTCATTAGTTTTCTTTCTGAAGTTTATTCTTGAGTTGGAAGGTGCCTCTAGTAAGCAGTTACCTATATATCAGCATGTCCTGTGTTAGGGCATGCATTTGTATCTTTTTGAGGTGAGAAAGTAGTTTAGGTATGTACCAACTTCACAGTGAAGAATATAAAAAATTACATGATTATTGCCAATGTTTCGCTGATTTGAGCTGATAGGAACATATACTCTGGAAATATGAAATATACATGTTTCTGGGGGATTAATTTGCCATGCTTGTGCATGCATGTCCAAAAAGATCATGAGGAGAAATTAATGTGAAATTACATTAGATCATGTTTCAGTCATGTCCAAGAAGATGTTTCCAGAGTACATTTCATGTATATAGAATTAATCACATTAGACAATGTCTCCAATTAAATCACATTAATTAAAGGGCAAATTACACAAATAGTCTATATAATTTGGGGCTTGTGTCATTTTGGTTCCTGACTTTTCAATTGTGACACATTTGACCCTGAATTTTGAATCTTGTTTCAAATAAGGACAATTGAATATATAATTAGATTTTTCAAGGGTACAATTGTCAATTTGATAAAATATAAACTAATTTGAAAAAAATAAATGTCAAACAAATATTTTTGAATTTTTAAAAATTATTTTTATCTACTAAAAATAAAATTATGTAAAATTGATAAATCTTTTAGACATTTATTTATTTATTTTTACCAAATTGATTTTTATTATGTGTTTGGATGATGATCATATAAAATTAATTTTAAAAAATTAATCATGTAATTTTTTATTAATTTTACATAATTTTATCATTGGTGGATAAAAATAATTTTAAAAAAATTAATATTTTTTTGACATTTATTTTTGTCAAATTAGTTTAAATTTTATCAAATTGACGATTTTACCCTTGAAAAATCTAATGATATTTTTAATTGTCCTTATTTAGAATAAGATTCAAAATTCAGGATCAAATGTGTCACAATTGAAAAGTCAGGGACCAAAGTGACACAAGTTCCAAACTATAGGGACTATTAGTGTAATTAACCCTTAATTAAAATTAGAAAAGTTAAAGACTACATAAAAAATAATTAATAATTTAAGGATGAAATATCAAAATAACGATAAATTAGAAATAGAGTTAGCCTATATATATACACACATATAAGTATATAACTAGATGAAAGTCTCGGACACTTCTATGAAAAATGAAAAAAGAAAAGAAAAAAAAATGGTGAAAACCAAAAATTTATCGCATATATTTGGTCCCTTTATTTTTGAACATCTTTTAAACTTCTAATTTTTGGGTTTAAGTTTTCAAATTGTGTTTTTGATTTTAATGCGACTTTTAAACATTTTAGCAAGAAACTCTGAATTTTAAGTTTTCTATTTAACCCCTTAAACTTTCATAATTAAATCAGTATTGTCTCATCTCTTATTAGACATGGAAAAAACGATCACATTTTATCATCTACTTTCTAATGTAAATCATAAGATATAAAGATAACTTCACTTGAAACTGTTAGCAATTTTCACTTTCTATCTTTTTATTTTATTTTTATATCTCGTATTTAAACTATTATTTTAGATAAATCCGAAGTACAAGCTAAAATTAGAGCGCTTAAATTAAAAAAATGTAAAAAATTGATAACTACATTAAAATGAAAGGTTAAATTATACTGACCTCTTTTGAGATTTAGAAAAAATAAAATAAGTTTAACAGTTTTGACATAAGGTCAAATGAACTGAAATTAATATAGACAGCGTGAAAGCACAAAAATAAATAATAGAAAGTATATATTTTTGCTTAAAAGAAATAATAATATTATTTTTTCATCCATAAAACTAAAAAATTATTTATGAGAATAGACTAAATATTGTATGAATTAAAATCTCAAAAGTATTTAATATAATTATGTTAAAATTATAAAATTTATTGTACTTTTTCAAAACCTCAATACAAATCAACATAATTTACCCAAAACAAAAATAAAGTTGAAGGACTACTTAATAATTTATGGGAAACAAAAAAAAATGACAAGGCCATTATTGGACCTATGGGGTTTTGATTGTCCAAACAATACGCAACAACATAATGGCGTCTACGCTTTTGGCAACAACGGCCATTACTCTTAGTTCACTGATCAGTGTTTTTGTGAGCAACGCATCAAGCTCTTCCAATGTATCATCGGAAATAGTTTATGGAAACAAAACTGCCATTATGTCTTCTATCAAGTACTTTGCTCTCTTGTTATGCTTCCTCGTTGCCTTTCTTTGCAATGTGCAATCTATTAGGTACTATGCTCATGTTAGCTTCTTGGCTACCTTGCCTACGTCGATAGACAAAAGGGAATCTATTGAGTATGTCGCTAGAAGCTTGAATCGAGGAAGCTTGTTTTGGTCGCTTGGGTTACGAGCATTTTATCTGTCGTTCCCTCTCTTCCTTTGGATCTTTGGTCCCATACCCATGTTGGTGTGTTGCTGCATAATGTCATTTGTGCTATATTTCTTGGACACCACTACCACTTTTACACAGCGTCTCCACATCAACTCCATGAAAGAGGGATCAAGAACTGATGATATTGGGTCTGTATGTTGATCATTGTAGGCGTTGACTTTATAAAATGTTATTCTTGAAATTAGAGTAGTAATGAAAGAAATCTGTCATTAGTTTTCTGTCTGAAGTTTATTCTTAAAGAGTTGGAAGGTGCCTCTAGTAAGCAGTTACCTATATATCAGCATGTCCTGTGTTAGGGCATGCATTTGTATCTTTTTGAGGTGAGAAAGTAGTTTAGGTATGTACCAACTTCACAGTGAAGAATATAAAAAATTACATGATTATTGCCAATGTTTCGCTGATTTGAGCTGATAGGAACATATACTCTGGAAATATGAAATATACATGTTTCTGGGGGATTAATTTGCCATGCTTGTGCATGCATGTCCAAAAAGATCATGAGGAGAAATTAATGTGAAATTACATTAGATCATGTTTCAGTCATGTCCAAGAAGATGTTTCCAGAGTACATTTCATGTATATAGAATTAATCACATTAGACAATGTCTCCAATTAAATCACATTAATTAAAATTAGAAAAGTTAAAGACTAAATAAAAAATTATTAATAATTTAAGGATGAAATATAAAAATAATGATAGTTTAGAAATAGAATTAGCCTATATATATATACACACATATAAGTATATAACTAGATGAAAGTCTCGGACACTTCTATGAAAAATGAAAAAAGAAAAAAGAAAAAAAAATGGTGAAAACCAAAAATTTATCGCATATATTTGGTCCCTTTATTTTTGAACATCTTTTAAACTTCTAATTTTTGGGTTTAAGTTTTCAAATTGTGTTTTTGATTTTAATGCGACTTTTAAACATTTTAGCAAGAAACTCTAAATTTTAAGTTTTCTATTTAACCCCTTAAACTTTCATAATTAAATCAGTATTGTCTCATCTCTTATTAGACATGAAAAAAACGATCACATTTTATAATCTACTTTCTAATGTAAATCATAAGATATAAAGATAACTTCACTTGAAACTGTTAGCAATTTTCACTTTCTATCTTTTTATTTTATTTTTATATCTCGTATTTAAACTATTATTTTAGATAAATCCGAAGTACAAGCTAAAATTAGAGCACTTAAATTAAAAAAATGTAAAAAATTGATAACTACATTAAAATGAAAGGTTAAATTATACTGACCTCTTTTGAGATTTAGAAAAAATAAAATAAGTTTAACAGTTTTGACATAAGGTCAAATGAACTGAAATTAATATAGACAGCGTGAAAGCACAAAAATAAATAATAGAAAGTATATATTTTTGCTTAAAAGAAATAATAATATTATTTTTTCATCCATAAAACTAAAAAATTATTTATGAGAATAGACTAAATATTGTATGAATTAAAATCTCAAGAGTATTTAATATAATTATGTTAAAATTATAAAATTTATTGTA